TTTCCTACCAATATTGCCTCTGGTCCAGGCTATTGGAGAGCCTTATGATAATGGTATTCTGAAAGCCTGTCTAGGTCAGGCATCCTCAAACTGGCCCTCCAGAAGACCCAATGAGTTTGTTCAATTGTCAGGATTTCTGGGAGTTGGAGGCCCAAACAGCTGGAGGTCCACAGTTTGAGGATGCCTGGTCTAGGTGCTTCCATGTTACTGTTGCTTATCTACTCAGTCTGCTTCTTTTGAACTAATGTCTAGCACAACCCAAGGAGTGATGAGAAGAAGAGAGACAGATGATGCTGACCTGCTTAGTTTTCCTATTCCTGTTGCTTTTCAAGTTGATTGAAGTGGTAGGTTAAACATACTAGAAAAGTAAAGTAACATGGTCATGGGCTTGGGGCGGGGGTGGAGCTAACAAAGCTGCTCTTAAGCACCAGCCATGTCCCATTGAAATGGGACACACTCTGAGCAGAGCTATATTTTTTAGAAAAGGAAAGTTAGCAGTTGTTACATTTATTTCCAAGGCCCTCTTACTGCAAGGACTAGGGAATAGATCTGTGTCCAAGACATGCAGGGTGTGCTTTAGTGCAGGGTGGGCTCATTCCTCTAAGCAATGTTCTTCTGAAGAGTCAATAATAAAAAGCAGGCATATTTAAAATGAAATCATAATAGGCCTTAAGCATTCGTGCAAAGATGGTTTATATTGGCTTGCAAATGCTGGCCATCTCCACCAGTCAAAATAAATACCTTGCACAGCAACTATGGAAACTAAAAGGGCTTTTAAGGATTGAAGGAACTCTTTCAGCAGAGCTGGAGTTTTGAAGCAGCCACAGACAATGCAATCCTAAGCATGTTGATTCAGGGGTAAGTCTCCGTTCACTAGGACTTGCTTCCTTATAAATACAGTTAGGACAACACTCTGGTGTTTGCCATTTTAACCCTTTAAATCAGATATGGGCAAACTTCAGCTGTCCAGGTGTTTTGGACTTCCAACTCCCACAATTCCTAACAACCCACTGGCTGTTAGGAATTGTGAGAGTTGGAGTCTAAAATGCCCGGAGGGTCAAAGTTTGCCCACGCCTGTTTTAAATGGTCTGCAGCCATTCGAAGCACTTAACCTGAAGTAAACTCCACAGAATTCAGTGGGATTGATAACATGTCTGCTTATTATGAATCTATATAAATAAAAATGTAATGTTCGTTTGTGGGATTACCATAACTCAAAACTACTGGACGAATTGACACCAAATTTGGACCGCATACACCTAACAACCCAAGGAGTGATCATCACTCCGAAACATTGATGTCATTTGGGAGTTGTAGTTGCTGGGATTTATAGTTCACCTACAATCAAAGAGCATGCTGAACCCCACCAATGACAGAATTGAGGCAAACTTCCCACACAGAACCCCCATACTTAAGGTCATCCAGTCCAACTCCCTTCACCAGGGCAAGAAAATGTAATCAAAGCCCTCCTGACAAAGAGCCATCCAGCCATATAGTTAGATATGATTCACACAGAGAGAGATTTGAAAAGGAGCCCTAAAGAAGGACAATTATATGTTGCATGTTCCAGAGTGGGCAAACCAGACAATCTCCACATCAACACTGACAAAGAAATAGCAAGAAATTTTGCCTACCCACAAGCATAAAGAAATTACATATATTAGAAACCAACATTTTCTAATTACTTTATTTTCCAGATCACCAGACTGGGCCACAGCAACGTGTGGCAGGGGATGGCTAGTTATATATATATGATAATGGTGATACTGGTTCAGGTGGAGAGTGAGAGACATATGACTAAAACAGCTGTGTTTATTTAGGCCTTTATTTCTCAAAGAACATTGTGTGTGTGTGTGTGTGTGTGTGTGTGTGTGTGTGTGTGTGTGTGTGTGTGTGAATGAATGCAATAACGTGTGCTAATTACGGAACATTTGACTGCTTCACCAACACAAAGCCATATGCCTTGGAGACAAATATGCAATTTTTAGAGTCACTATTCTCAGTTAATAATACACCTTACATTATCTTTTTCACATATGTACAACTGCTGTATTTCTTCTCCAGTCAGTCTTCATTATCACCATCAACTGGAAGCCAGAAATACTCAATGATTTTCTTGCCCCTTCTGGCTGGCCTTTTCTCCTTCAGTTCAGCAGGGCAACGCCCACCTATTTGAGATTGCCCAGGATTTGAGCCTGGTGCAGTAATTCTATACAAAACCCTATGAAGAAAGAAAGCAACGACAAACTAATACAAAATTCATTTTAAAGTGTATCTCATTTCTCGACTCTAGCCTTCCCCAGACTGGGACCTTCTACATGTTTTGGCTGCAGCTACTATCAGCCCAAGCTGACATGGCCAATAATAAGACACAATGCAGGCTGCCGAACAAAACATTTGGAGGGCACCAAATTGCGAAAGCTGCTGTACTGCAATATATTGTCGAAGGCTTTCATGGCTGGAATCACTGGGTTGTTGTAGGTTTTTTTGGGCTATATGGCCATGTTTTAGAGGTCTCTCTAGAACATGGCCATATAGCCCGAAAAAAACCTACAACAACCTGCTCTATTGCAATTTGTTTCTTTTCAGTTCATGTGTATAAGTCCTCTTTAATATATTTCTGGGATGACAGATAAGCAGTGGTTAACACAGGGGCAAGGAAATAACAACAGAAATAACAGAAATTATGCAGGCTGCAGCTACTCTATACAAACAGATACATACAGGTAAGTGGATCTAAGACATCCAGTGGGCTCCCACTCTGGGACATTTCCAAGATGGGACATTTCCAAGATGGAGCCCACTGGAGTCCTTCACATGATAAAGGGCTCCATCTTGGAAGCGTCTTAGGACGGAGCACAGAGAACACAGCCGACTTCCCATGTTCTCATTGCATAGAAGAGGAACAGCACAGGGGAAAGCCGGGCAGCGATGCTTTCCCCCATGTGATGGAGAAAGCGGAGGTATGGGGTTTGGGACAAGAGTTTCCCCTACTGCCCCACAGATTCACCACGCTGCCCAACAAATCCTCCTGTCTGCGTTTGGGGCCACCATGTGATGATGATGATGATGATGATGATGATGATGATGATGATGATGATGATGATGATGATGATAGTAACAACAACAACAACTTTATTTTTATACCCCGCCAACCATCTCCCCTAGGGGACTCGGGGCGGTTTACAAGGGACAAGCCCAAGATTACAATTAAAACACATACGTAAAACACTTTAACCAACTAAAACATCAGATAAAACAAATAACACAATTGAAAGCAATATAAAAACAATATGGCTGAAAGAAATATAGCTGAGGTACAGATTCAGTGACTGCCTAGTCTGCTGCTGCAGAGCAGTCACAATTATTGCCAGTCCTTTTCCCAGTTTATAGTTAATTATAATTATAATATCTATCCCTTCACCAGAAACAGCATTATAAGTTATTCAGTGTCTCTTTAATAAACCACAGATGGACTGCCATCAAACATAGAAGAGCCCTTATCATATTAAAGTAAGGCTGCTTGGAGTGAGATTGCAACTATCATGGCTCTGACCTGGAACCCAAAGTCATTCAATGAAGCTGAAAGATGATTCAGAATTACTTCATAGAATGCATGCTTAAACAATAGAACTCACTGTTGACTTGAGTGGCTTCAAAAGGTAACTAGATACATTCATGGAGAATAGGGCTATCAGTGGCTACCAATCAGGACAGCTATATTTCACTTCAGGAACAGATGCCTTTGTACATCAAGTTGCAGAGGAACATAAAATGATCAGAGACACATTACTATTTAAATATCAATGGTATTGAGCACCTACACAAAAATAAAAAGGATCCCTGACATACTGTCCATGCCATCTTCTATACAACTTCATATGGTCCTTTCGAGATTGTCTTAAATGAATGTTGGTGCCTTAAAGATTAGACCTGGGTCTGGGTATATTTGACCTGCTGATTCCAAAAATTGTCCTGGTTTTTCCCTATGGGATGTAGTTTTTGAAATCCAAAGCATGTGCCATATACCAGCCTTCATCTGCTCACCCATAAGGAATAATCATAACCATATTTTAGAAGCTAGAGCTTATGCAGTCTATCCAATGCAATTGTCTGAATCAGGACTCCAAATAACCCCAGGAACAGGCCTAAAAACAAAGCCAACATGAATTATTTTTGTTGTGCTGTTTAATGGGTGGCTTAAGTCCTAATTAAAGCAAATCTATTGAGTTCATGGGATCTATATAAGAGTTGACTGACCACTCAACAAAACAATTAATTTAATGGGTCCAATCTGGATGGGGCAAGCAATTGGATGTTAGACTTAGTGTACTGGAGTGTTTTTCATGCAAGATTATTGTTATGAAACTAGGATGACATGCTATGTATTTAATAAAAAATCTGTTTTTCTGAATTGAATGTTATTTATATTCAGTTTACTAAGCAGTTACAACAAAATTGTACTTGGGATAAAAAAAACAAGCAGAAGAGGTACAGAGAGGGGGGTAGGAATACAATATCACATTCACAACTATGTTTAGCTCTCTTTTGTACTTGAAAAAAGCTAACCTATATAGAATAGGGGTTGGGTAGAAAGGTGAAGCAGGGATCCACTGACAGGTCTATAGAGGGCCCTCAGTATGTTCTGGAGTTTTGTTCCAGGACCCCTCCAGAGATACCAATACTTTGCTCCTATTAACAAGTCTCCCAAGACTTACACAGAGACTGCAAGCAAGACTTGTAAGTCCCTATTAAAAATAGCAGTGAAAATGGAGCAAAAAATCTGCTAATAATCAAATCCACAAATGTGGAGGGACAACTATATAGCTTGGTTTCTCCTTCAGGCTGTGTAAAGTAAAAAGAAATGCCTTTGCATTGGCATCTTTCCTGGTTCAATTGAGTAAGTATGCCAGTAACCATGTTAAATTTATTACCCGCCAGTTCCTTGGCACAGGCCCTCACTGTAAATTTAAGAGATGGCAAAGATTATCAAAGACCTACCTGTCAGTGGTCTTGGCATTTTCTTCATTGTCAGTGCTAGGGATTGAAAAACAGACCTGCTCTCCTTCCTGAAACATAGGCAGAAATACTATATTAGAATAGTCTTATAAACTGAATTATTCAATGATTACTTAAGGACTTGCCCACAACACAGTGCAAAACTGGCAGGATGACTCACAGGACTTACACTGTGTGTTTGTTTCTGGTAACCTCCTCTTTCTTTTCAAAGTACTGCTGACTTATAAGCAATGTCTGTTTTCACACAGTCACTTTTTAACCTGTGCCCCAAAAGCTGTTCCCCAATTTATATTAATAGTGTTTATGCCAGTCACCCTGAACTGGTATACTTCCGTTAACAAAGTAGATGTGTTCCCGGGCATTGGTTCTTTAGCAGAAATAACATCAATTACAGTAATAGCTCTTTAAAGAGAGACTTATGAGTGTTACATCGTTAACTCTAAAGGAATTATATCCATTCAGTTCCTTAATGAAATATTTTTACTATGCCATTTGTTCACTCACCTCTACATTCCCTCTCTAAAAACAATATTTTTGTTCACATTTTTACACTTTAGACTTAGAGCTTCCCATGCTTCCATCAAAATTAAAACTAAGATGGGTTTTTCCAACTGATTTGAATCCAAGTCCACATAAATTGGGCCCCATAGTGTTTAAAAAACATCTTTCAGGATAAGATTTCCAAAGTTACAAAGAAATGTTTCGGTCAATCCCTAGCAGACATACACAATTCTTTGCTTGCTCCACCATTAACATGGATATTCCCAATATTCCCAAATGATTTGCATGCCATCTGTTAAAAACTCCCTTAACACTTGGCAACTACTTGTCTGTGCCCAGCCATAAATCCAACTCTAACCCTACTATCTCCAAGTAGAATTAACTCCACTGGACAAACAAAGATGGCTCAGGGTGAAGATATTTTTTGTTTTGTTTTTCCTGATTCCAGATTTCACAAAAACGTTTTAACTATTGTATGTAAAACTATTGGACTGATTACTCCAGCCTCTCCATTCCACTAGTGCAAATATTCCACAGAGTCAGAAGCTTTCTGTGATTCAAGTCTTCTATCCTCAGTGGACACATTTGGATCCCTTTGTATTCAGACTCAACCATCAAAGCTGTGTATTGCATAATACCTTGGGGTCCTTACTATGGAAAACATCACAAAGAATGCTTGCACTTCAGAATTTGCTGCTTCAACAATGAGCATGTCCTTTTTCTGACATTTAACGTTTCATAACAGTTTTTTTATTGTTATGCAAGGATAGCTGTTGTTTGCAAGTCACTGTTGGATACCTTAAAATATCCACACTTGAAGGAGCAGTCTGTATCGTGTAAATCATACATTCTTTTGTCTGATTGCAATTCCATGGTAATAATAGATCAAGCATTGCTGAGATACAAATAATTAATCTATTCCCAGCTATTAAAATATGATTCAATAGAATCCTTAGAGTGCAATTTTATTTAAAAATTCCAAATGTAAAGTGTCATAAATTGCCAACAATTTAATAATATTTGTTAATTTAACATGGCTTTTCCATCTTCAGTAAGTTAATCATTCATACTGCCAAAGTTGATTCAGTTATGACAGTGCACAGATTCATATTTGGTAAATGTATTCAGATCTTGTCTGCGTCTTTATAAAAAGAGTTAGATTCCACAGTAGATGATAAACAGATCTCTTTCATGAAGGACAGAGTAGGCATGAGGGCTGCCCACACAAAATGCTGTGCCTGTTTCCTTTCATTTCTGGTGTCATTATTCATGGCTATTCCAGCCAATGAAAATAACATTTAATACAAAACACTTCTGGCATTTTGTCACATGGACTTAGAAGTATACCATTGTCTCTGTCTATTGACGAAGCTGCACTGCTACTAAGGTACCAGTGGTCTGTAAGTACTATCTTCTCCAAATTGCTTTTCTGTGGAATTATTTTATTTTATTTTTATTTGGCCTCTCTGATTACCCAAGACTCAGGGTAAAATCTTATTAAGTGTCTAGAAAGAAATTTTCCATCAGCCATAAAATGCTGAATCACCCTTAAAATCTGTTCCAAATAGTGGAAGGAAATTAAACCCTGGAGGGCCCAAGAGGTCACAAAACCAACCATCGGGGCCACATACAGCCTACAGGCCTTACTTTGCCCATCTCTTCTATTTCAGGACACACAACACTATTGGTTATTCTCCGCTCCTTCCTGCTCTTGCTTTCTCTCTTTTTGTCTCTTTCTGTTGTGAATATGTACCTTCAGGTTTAACTGTCAGCTTATGGCAACCTCAAAAATAGCCCTCCTTTCCCTGCCTTGCCTGTCCCCCAACTATCCCACCATGCCTACCCTGCGATTTTAATGCAATTTTGTAAAATAAAAATCAATAAAAATATTTTTTAAAATGTTTTCAAAGTTTTGTCTTCTGAGATACAACTTATAGTACCCAGTATCCATTAGTGAGGTTCTATCCAACTACTAACCAGGATGTTATGATTTTCCGATCCAAGGCCTCTTAACAATTAAAGCCACAGGAGTCCTGTGCCATATTCAACCTGGCAGCTCTACTGAGCCAGCACACCCTTCTCTGTGAGCTCCACAATTCATGGATCTGGTATTCCAATCACCGCAGCATGGCTGGCACCATGAACTCTTATGGAGAAGTGTCCTGCTCCAAGCCAATGGCTTATCTTTTCAAACAATATCAATGGGAGCTTCAGGACCGCAGGATGAAAACCTTCAGGCGGGTGTCTGATATTAGACTCTTTCAGACAACACAATTATAATGCTACGATTCCAGTTTAGCTGCCATGGCTGCATGTTGCATAATCATGGGGTTTGTAGCCGGGTAAAACACTAGAGAATTTTAAATGGCCATTCTCAAAATGCTAATCCCAAGATTTCACAGGATGCTGCCAAAGCAGTTGAAATAGAACCATAGTACTATAACTGTGTGGTGTGAAAGCACTTCGAATTTGCTCATCAGAATCTTCTAGGTGCTGCAACATCTAACTTGTATTGCTGCCCTCCCCACGCTGGCTTCAAAACATGAAAGATAAAGAAGAGGAGGAATTGCATTTCACCTATTAATAAAACATACAAAAACCCAAACACTTTCTTCCCAACCCCAGGTACTGTGCGTCTATCCTTCTGCCCAGGCATGTAGCTGGGGGGCGGGGGGGGGGGAGGCTTGAGGGGTTTCAGCCCCCCTCCCCCCGGAAATTCTCAGGGTGGTTCGCAAAAAGGTCTTACTGGTACATTATTTAAACTGTTATGTTTATTCATATCATGATCTGATCACCATGCTCAATATATCCCACATGCATGGGGGTATTGGGGTAACGATATAAAAGGTTTGCTAGGGTAGATCCTCAGCCACCCCCCTGAATCAAACTCAGCCCCCCCCCCTCCCGAATCAAAATCTTGGCTACTGGCCTGTTCTGTCAGAATAAGTCTATACTCTACATTTTGTTTCCCAAAGGAAAACCATCTCATACTAGCATATCTATTGTTTCATTATGCTGTAAAGTGAATTTCCAACTTAATGGAATCAGTGCAGTTGCAAGGGAAGCACCAGCCACAGGGTTGGTAAAAACTGTGCCCACTGGACTCTACATGGCATCCCTTTGCCAAAGAGGCCCAGAGGGACTTAGATTTCTAATTTAGTGTGTATTACCCAGTAACTATGTACAATATAAGCTGCCTTGCCTGTCAGGTCACTAAGGGAAGAAATTGCTTAGAAACATTTTGCTTTTTAAACATACTGTAATTTTAGATTATTTGGCTGTTGCTCTTATGTGCCCTTGAGTTGACTCCAGTTTATGCAACCTTATTCTAGCGTTTTCCTGGGAAGGTTTACTTCGAAACATTTGATATTGGCTTCCTCTTGGGCTGAAAGGGTAACTTGCCCAAGGTGGGTTTCAATGCCAAGCAGGGATTTCAATTATGATCTCCTGATGCAGAGTTTGCCATTCAAATCCTCTATTTGAGTTACTTACGTAGAATAAAACAATTGCATCTCTTATGCCTAGTAAAGTAAAATGATGTTCCAATTTAGCTCATATATTATTCATGCTTATTGCTGCTATGATCTTTTTCCATTTCCTCTGCAAGGCTGTGGCTGGAAGGTTTCATACTTTCTGGAGGCAATATAGAACAGGATCAACACTTGGAAGTTACTTTTAGACTACAATGTTCAAAATCCCCAGGTAGCTTTCTGGTGATGCTGGGATTTGTCACCCAAAAGGCAATTTTGCCAAGTTTGGATTAGATGGCTGGTCCTTGAGTCATGGCTTGATACGGGGATGCAATTTCGGTCTATACAAATTCTTACAGACATGACATTTTCAATTTGTGACATATCTAGCAGAAAGAAGATTGGTGCCCTCACTACTGCTATTCCCGCAGAAAGTGACTCCACGTTTCTTACCACAAATCTCTGGAGAATTCCTTCTTCATTTCTCAGGGCTGTGATGTATTCATTGCTTTCACTGATACATAAGAAATAACTCTTCATTTTCACTTGGCACTAAGAAGACAAAGAGAGAAGACAGAGTGTTGGTATGGGTGATGTTTTATGCAAAGTGAAACCCTGGGAAAATATTAAGCCAAAAAGGCATTTTGTACCATCTGAAACAAAAAAATGAAGCCAAATAAAGCACATAGGTTGCACACATAAGGAAAAACTGTCACACAGCTGTGTGGGAAAACTGTTCCCAGTCATCATGACTATCAGTGATGGGCTTGAAAGAGTTGCAGTACTGCATAAAGGATAATCACACAGCACTTAAAACTGCTGAAGTATTTTACCTTGTGTACAACATTCCCTAGACAAGAGTTCACACAGTTTTGGTTATGATTATATTGAATTAAATCTTCTTTTACACAAATGGGCTGAATTTAATCTTGACTATTTTTGCATCTGGGTGATGTTACCTGAGTGGACCAGACCTCAAATTAGGACAGGGGAAAACGACAAAGTAAGAGGGGCTTTTTGCTAAAAGGACTCCTGGGAAGTAAGCAATTTCCAGCTGCAGGAAAGGCATCCTTTATTCCACTGAATCCATCTGTTTCCCTCCCTCCCCCCCCCCCCGCCCCCCGCCCCCCGCCCCAAGAAAGTGCATGTCAAGCTGTTTCCTTTAAGAAGGGGTGGTGGGGATTAAACTATAGGCTGGAAATTGAAAAGCCTGGTGTGCACAGCTGTATAGATCAAGAAATGGCTATGGCATTCCATCCATCCAAAAACCCAATTGAAACTGAAAAAACTGTATACTTCCAATTTTGTTTTCAGGGCAGGGAAGTCTATTTCAAAAGATGTTATAATCTTTCAAAGTGCAATACAACATATCAATGGAAGATAACTTTAAAAAAGGCATACCTGAACTGTGTATAGTATTTATTTTATTTATTTATTTACTGCATTTTTACCCCACCATTCTCAACCCCCGGTAGCAAACCCTGTATCTTGACTAGGGCTTATTTATTTATTGTGTCAGGAGCAAACCAAACAGTTGTATTGTATTTTTAAAAAAACACAAAGTTTTCAAATTTGGCATTCTATTAAATGTATTTTGACTAATAGCTGGCCACTTGGAGTGCCTCTGGTGTTGCTATAAGGCAGTCCTCCATTGTGCATGTGGCAGGACTCAGGTTGCATTGTAGTAGGTGGTGTGTGGTTTGCTGTTCTCCACACTCGCATGTCATGGACTCCACTTTGTGGCCCCATTTCTTAAGATTGGCTCTGCATCTTGTGGTGCCAGAGTGCAGTCTGTTCAGCGCCTTCCAAGTTGCCCAAGAGGGAGTCTCTTATTTGGTATCAGCCATTGATTGAGATTCTGGGTTTTTAGCCTGCCACTTTTGGACTCTCGCTTGCTGAGGTGTTCCAGTGAGTGTCTCTGTAGATCTTAGAAAACTATTTCTTGATTTAAGTCGTTGGCATGCTGGCTGATATCCAGACAGAGGATGAGCCAGAGATGTCACTGCCTAGGTCTGACAACATACTACATGACTAGGGCTGTAGGACAACATGACTAGTGTTGCAGCACCTAAAGAGTCCCACAAACACTTTCTGGTAAAATATTTTTGGGTCATGAATATGTGAAATTGTGTATAGTGAGTCCATGGATAAGGGGCTTGCAGTGTATATTTTTGACCATGGTACATACAGTTTTATTTTTTTCAACATGGTACATACAGCTTTATTTTGCCTTTTTGATTTGTCCTCTTCTTGGGAATGCAGAAGCTCTGCCAAAGCATTATATTTCTTCATCCATGCCTCGCACTGCTTTTCCTTCTCTCCTTTGTCACATTCTAGCAAGCGCTTCGCCCTTTCAGCTTCATAATGCAGTAAAGTTGCTTTCTCTAAAGCTTCTTCAGCAGCTTCAATTCGGCATCTTTGAGAGATTTCACTATTAAAGCAGACACAAAGAGGAGGAAAGTCAAATTGAGTAGAGAAAGACAGTTAAAGAATGATCAAAATCAACAACAAATTTCAAGATGCAAATAAATGCCACAATATAGTTTCAAAAGAATAATGCCTATTCTTTAATCTACCTTTTGACTGACTAGGATCACTTATTAATATTTATTATTTATTTATTTCTATCCTGCTTTTCTCCCAGATCAGGACACAAAGCGACACTTCTATATTACTTTATTAAATTTCAGTTGTGTTTTTCCCCTTTCTTGCTGATGACACATCCTGGTTTAGAATCCAAATAGCTTCAGTGGAATCAGATGGAGAAAACCTGGGTATCATCAATATATTAGTAAATTTAACATACTAATTAACTAGCATGGAGAATGAGATGGAAGTCCGAGAGGCCTCACAAGGCAGCAGCCATAAACAGCACCATCTCCTTATCATCCCTACAGAAAATTCCAAAGCTATTATCAATCAGGCTTCCAAGGCCCATTCTTGAAAAGCGGGTCAGTCAAACAATCAAGTTAACAAAACGCAGCGCCTAGTCACGAATCAAGGAACATGAAAGGCAGTGCAGACTAATTCAGCTAGAGAAGTCAGCCATAGTAGAGCACCCAATGAGCCAACCTGGACACGGCATTTTATTTGAGAACACAGAAATGCTGGACCACTCTAACAACCACCATGTCAGACTACACAGAGAAGCCATTGAAATCCACAAGCATGTGGTCAATTTCAACAGAAAGGAAGAAACCATGAAAATGGACAAAATCTGGCAAAATCTGGCTACCATTAAAAAAAACTGGTTACCAGTAAATAAAAGGCATAAACAAAATCTGGCTACCAGTAAATAAAGAGTAACACTAAAAAAACACCTCCCAACAAAGGATTCCCCCTGGCAGGAAGCAGCCAGGCTTTGAAGCTGCAAGACCATTCAATGCTAATCAGGGTGACCAATTGCAACATTCATACCTGCCTCAAGCAGACAAGAGTTCTTTCTCCCATCCTGGCCATTCCACAGCTATATAAACCTCAACTGCCTAGTTTCCAACAGACCTCACACCCTCTGAGGATGGCTGCTATAGCCATCAGGAGTGAAATATCAGGAGAAAATGCTTCTGGAACATGGCCATACAGCCTAGAAAACTCACAGCAGCCTAATCACAGTTAATGGCTATAGAAAGCAACAGAGAAGCCAAAAAGACCAACAAGAACACCCCTTATCTAGTTCCCATCATCCACAAAGGCAAATATGACCATCTCTATCCAAGATAGGCCTGAAGCCAATGATGGAATAGAAATGAGTCTGATACTCCATCTCATCCAGAGACACCTCAAAATGAAATACCAAAAAATATGCTGCCCAAAAACAGAAACATGGGAAAGATTTAGTCTTACCACTGATTGGGATCACATCTTATTGCAAAGACAGATGTATTACCTGTCAGCCCACTTTGTCATATTCATAAGCCAGAACAGGCAAAGGTCAGGCATACATATGGTGGGTTTCACCTCTCTAGGGATCCTGTCTGCATCCTCAGGCTACATAAACCGAAAGGCATCCATTAAAAATGGACAGGCAGAATCCATTGTTTTGGTGTCTCTGCTGCATCAGTACCCATAAATTAGCTATAGCTGCGGAAGCGGTAACATCATGTGCATTTATTCCAAGATTAAAATCAGCCATGCATTCTGAATAATGCACAAGCCTTAGAGCAATTGCAGAGAGAAAATTTGGCAACAGTTTCTGTCTAAAGCAAAACAAAGCAAAAACACATTTATTTAGATTTATAGCCTTACCCGTACTAAAGAAGAGCAATAAAAGCAAAAACCAATTCATGAAAACAACGTAGGAGTTTATATTGTTTTCGTTTCTTGAATGATATTGGCATCTTTTCTTGACTTTAAACCTGAGCCCTGAAGGCCAACACAAACAGAGAGATCAGGTGACATTTGAAAAAGATTATCTGGCTCAGACTTTGGAGAATTTAGGCAGGAGTGGTTGTCTTTCTTTGTGTCCTTGCTGAATAAATCTGATCAAGAGATTGTTCCCAATTGATCTCATAGAACATAAATAGGAGGGAAGAGTTAATGCTAGGAGTGTCTACTAAAGCTTTTAAAAGGTAAATTATGTATCATATTTTTAAGATGAAGGGAGAAAAGAGAGGATGGGGCAGATTTTATGAAATGGGTGGCAATAAACCATAATCATACTAAATCAGTAAGGTAAAGCATTAAATGAAAAAAATCATTTTATACCACTGCTAAGCCCCCAGTGGTGAAGTGAGTTAAACCCCTGAGCTGCTGAAATTGCTGACAAAGGTCACCAGTTTGAATCTGGGGAGCAGGATGAGCTCCCACTGTTAGCCCCAGCTTCGCCAACCTAGCAGTTCAAAAACATGGAAGTGTGGGTAGATCAATAGGTACCGCTCTGGGAGGAAGGTAATGGTGCTCCATGCAGTCATGCTGGCCACATGACCTTGGAGGTGTCTACAGACAATGCTGGCTCTTCACCTTAGAAATGGAAATGAACACCAACCTGCAGAGTCAGACACGACTGGACTTAATGTCAAGGGAAAATCTTTACATTTTTACCTTAAGATTTAGAGCTCCTTTGGAAATATGTAGATGTCTACAATGAAATAAACTGTTGCTTTCTGGGATGGGAGAGCCCCATTCCTTTAAAGACATCTAAATTAAAATCTTACTTTTCTTTACACTTAGAGATCTCTTCTATTGTTCTTTTCAGTTTCTGCTTTAGTTCATTCCTTTCATGCTCCAAATATCTTTTTTCTTCGCCGATGACTTCTCTCTCCATTGTTATTCTCTCTAGTTTCATCTGACTTTCAAAGTGACTCTTTTCCACTTGTGCTAAGAGCTGCTGCATTTCTGTTAACTAAAACAAAAAAAATGTGAGTTTTTTTCCACCAGCCCAACAACTAAGCAGAGAGAGAAAAGAGAGGATAAAAAGATGCAAAGGAAGAGTTTCCAAGCAGGGAAAGAATCTTTGGGAAGCGAAGGAGTGAAATCTAATATACCCTTCAGCTCAGAAGGAAGCATCAAGATAAAGTCTGCAGTTTTAACTCTAGATTGCTATAGTAGTCATTTTATAAAATTCTACATTGCTACAGCAGTCTCTTTGTCTTTTGTATACACCTGTCCCATCACCAGTACTGGAAACTGAATTCTCTTGTGTATTAAGCTACTGACTCATGGAGCTGTAATGCCAAATAATTCTGAGCCATCTGTCTGCGAAGCCTGTTCCCATCCATGGGGTTGAGGTGAGACAAGACTCCAGACAGGGCTGACTGGTTTGGAATGAAGAGCGAAGCAGTTGCCTCACGTGGCATTTGCTAGGAGGGAAATCAAAACTATAGAGGAGAGAATAGTGCCAAAGGCTGACATTGTCCCCATGAGAATCCTAACCTCTCAAATGAAATTTAGTCTCCAGATTTTTAGCAATGCAGACTAAAACAATGGCAATCGTTTCATACCTAGTTTTCTTCTGTATCTTGCATTTACATTCACTTGATAACTTTGGATGCCAAAACTGTATTTCTAAATGTTTAGCCAAGGCTTTAGGT